CTTAACTTATGACGATTATAAGAAAAAATTACTGGCGACACGGTGCTAATACGGTTTACTGGCGTGTACTACCACGCGCGTGTAAACGTAGCATTACGGACGTACGTTGAATTTCCGTCTGTGTTCTACCCATTTAAACTTCCCACCCACAAAAGTTGCTGCACCCGCGTGCGAGGTATGTCCGGCTTTTTATTTATGCGTAGTTACTATACGCATGTTTTTTTTTATACATATTTAAATCCTCACTTTCTCAAACTGTAACGACTGTATTCTTATATCGCGTTAGGGCAACTGCCCGTCTAGACAAATAAATAACTACATAAATATCGTCTTTCGTCTTATTACCTTTTGGACTCAAGAATAAGAACCCCACGCGCCCCTCGCGCCCCGTTTCGGAGTCGTAGTAGCGCGCTTAATTTATTCACCTCACGGGGCCCGGGTTCCCCACGGAAACGCACACGACCCGGAGCGCTATGACGCGACGACGAAAGCGCCGGGACCGGTCGCGGAAGCGGAATTACGAAAACGTTTATGGGATTTAATGGCCTTTATTTTAATAACGGGGGAATATAATATATATAAAGGCCGAAACGAAGGGTTAAATTAGAAATGCAAAACGAAGAAGGTACCGTATATACGTATATAATATATATAGGTAGAGAGAGATTCCCGAACTAATTTATTATTTTACTATACGCGCGTTATGGTGGCTTTGGTTGGGGGCTTCTTTTTTCTTTTTTTTTTTTTTACCAAACAATTCCCCACACATCGTCATAATATTATTGGGATTTAAATGTTAGCGAATTTCCAATCGGCCGCCGCGGCGGTACCCTCTAACAATAAAACAATCGTCGTAATATTAATACTGCGTTCCGATGGTCCGTTATTGCGGCGTCCGAACGCCCCGGCATAATAACCGGAAATCTATAGAATACGGGAGGGAGGGGGGAGAAATTTGGTCAGGCGGTGGCGGTTCGAAGGCGACGCGATACGACGGACGGGGTATACAAAAAATTTAAAAAGCCGTCGTTAAAAAATATCGTTTTTTCCGGCCTCCTCATCCTCCTCCTCATCGCCCGGGGACCCATCCGAACCCCGCCGATCCGCACGCGAATCGTACCTTGGGTTTTGTTATCACCGCGATCGTCCCGCGATAAATGCATAATGCGGAAGTTCCGAGGTTTTATTTGCCCTACGGACTTTACGAGTGGGCAGCATTGTTGCGCGCCCGGCATTTTGGGGAGTAATTTCCCATTTTCTCCGGAAATCGATTTCCGCGGAGATTATTGTACGCGGAAAATAGAAAATAACGGATTCCGCGGTGGGGCGAGAGGCGGGTAGAAAACAGTAGGTACAGTTATTATCATTATTATTATTACCACCTATATTGCGTACTAATATGACGAACCGACGGCGACGACGGCGGTATAAATATTTAGACTGCCGCGCGTACATTCGTCGAGCGCAGGACCCGAGTGGCGGGGACGGTTGCGGAAAGGGGTGGTGGGTTTTAGGGTTGGAGGAGGGGGCCGGGGTTAACGGGCTGGCGAACGGTACGCACGTAAAATATATTATCGCGCTCGCGTACGCGCGCTATCCGTATAGGTATATTATTAAGTTTGAACTCATTCATAAAATGACTATAACACGTCAAAACCACATCCGCGAGTATAAATCGAGTTTATCTTAACATTGTAATAGTATTATATTTTAACGTGTACGCGCACGCCCCGAGAGGCGCTTCCGTATAATAATGTACAGGGCGCGAGAAAACGTGCGGGGCACGCGTACGTCCGCCGCGCTACACCGCGCGGGACGGCTGGGCGAGACCGCTCGGCCGCGTCGATTCCCGTCGTCGCGTCGTCCTCGGGCGCAGAGCAGAAGGCGCCGCCAGCCCGCGGTTAATTAACACGTTTTCGCGGTAACTCCGGCCCGGCACGCGGTTCTCGTTCGCTCCGGTCGCGCCCGAACCGCGCGCTCGGAGTTTAACGGTCGCCGCGCGCCGATATTTTTTCCGCGGCGAGGAGGAGGGGGAAATCGGGCGATCACCCCCCCACCCACCGCCCGGTATCCGGGGATTCGGTACGGACCGGGCGGAACGGGCGGCGGTTTTGAATCTCGGATTCCGATACGCGCCGCGAGGACATACGCGCGCCCGGGCGCCGCCGCGACGAACGCCGCGGCGTCAATAATAATAACGCCGTAACGACAATAGTTTTCGAACGGGCGCGCGCGCGCGCTATTAAGTTCCCGCGATCAAACTGTCCTCCCGCGGACCCACTCCGGGGCGCGCTGCACGTCGGATTACGCGGTATGATATACGAGCGTATCTCGTTGCGGCCGTTGCGTACGGCGTCGGACGCTATTGATTGCACGTCGTAGCATAACGATTATATTGTTACAACGTTGTAATCCCGCGGTTCGGACGTTTCGCAGATATACCTGTTGTTATACGGGGATGCGAGCCGGAAGTTCCGGTATCTCGAATCGTTCCCCGGCGTACATCTATGACCGCGCCGCCGCCGCCGCCGCCGGTAAAACCCCTCGCGGTACTATACCGTCCGTTATTGTCGACGGTAGACGACGGGCAATTTTCAACTTTTCGTACCGCGGCGAATTTTCGAGAAAAACTTTCAGCGGTAAATGCTGTTGGGGGGGGGAGGGGAGGTTTCTTGTATTACACGCGTACGTACGCGTTGTCCCGTTTTCTTCACGCGTGTCTAATTACTATGAAAACCGCTCGGGAAAACAAAAGGAAAAAACCCCCCTCGAAGTACCGCGTAGACGAAATTTTCTTTCGGAAAAAACGAGCAAGTCTTCTGTCAAGAGCGTCTGGCTGTATCGTTGCAAAACCGATACGTTTCTCGCTATGCTCCGAATCTGAAAAAAAAAAAAAAAACCAAATAATAATCACAAGTCCGTTGTCCCAATCTTACTCCGACCGTGATGTTACGTCTTATTCATAATAATAATTACCGTACAGATTGTACACTCCAGTCGTACCTCACGTTCTGTTGAACTCATACCACTCGGTATGCTTGATCAATATTTAATGACGTCGCGTAAAACTAAACTACCGCGCCGCGTAAACGAATCAGAACGGTGTTCGGAAAAACATTGTTTGACTACACGCGCATTGTTGTCGTAAAACACAACGAACGAATATCGACGAACGACCTGCAGCTGCGCGACGAACAACCAGCAACACCGATATCACGTCGCATATCATTCAGTTTGTCGCAGAAATCTTAAATGTCCGGACCGACGGACGCGAAAGAGTAGAAAATACGGCACGGTTGCTGGGGTATCACGAGCAGCCGGAATGATTTCCCGTTCCTGCAAATGGCCGACGACCGAAATGCCCATTCGTTTTCGGATGACGTGCAATATTCCGGGTCGGATGAAGAATTCGACGGTATATTCGGGGTCGCTTTGACGATTTTAAAAGTCGTGACCCAACTTTATAAAATAAATAACAACTTTATTGCTTTTCCCTTTAGTCCTCCAGTGTCGTTCACCGCCGCGCGTTCTCCAGAAGAGACGCGCCCCCTTTCGCCCGCATCCGGTAGATTCGTCGAGGGTCTGCTACAACGCGAACCGTATACACTGCGTTTAAATATCCCTCGGAGCTGTTACACCTGCGCTATCACGGCGAACGTCGAAATCTCGTCGTAAATTTCGGACGACTATAAAATATCGTGGGCGGTTCTTGCATCGAGGCCCGTCGTTATTCGATTCCCCGTATCCACGGGGATTTCGGGGTGACATTGATTTTGGTTTAATTTTTTTGTATTATTACTATTATTATTAATCGCGCCCGTTGTATTGTTCGGAATCTTTTACTATTCATAATATTTTCAAATCCGCACCATTATCCTTCGCCAGCGCAATTCTATCGCTAATCGGATTTACACACGACCCATACAGTATACGATGCTTTAGTCCGTCCTTTTTTTTTTTTATGAAGATGTATACGTATTTTTTCAAATATATTTTATTAAGTTTGAAACATCTGTTGTTTTTCTTTTTCTTTCTTCATACTATACGAAGTTCACGCAGTTTTCCAACGGATTCAACGCGTTCGACCGGAGGTCCGTCGCCAACGGTACGTTTTCTAAAAAAAACGTTCTAAAAACACATTTCTAACGCGATTAATTGATAGCCGCTAAAATTACATTCGTAAACAACACGCGATCAACGAACGATTACGATGCGAGCGTTCGTTTATTGATAACGATTTTGAATATTCCCGTTGCGATGCGTGCACGGCGTCAGCTATTATCGAATAAAATAGTTCTGATTTTAGATTCTGGGCGGAGCGAGGAACGCATTGGTTTTACAATGATGTTTAATGTTTTTTCCCGTAGACAACTTTCACGGTAAAATGTACAATACGTATTGTTTTCGAATCGTAAATATTACCTCCTATTAAAGACACGTAAAAACGAACTCGGCAAAGATTAATCGTTCCGTGCGGATATTCATTTAATTCCCCTCAATAAATCTCACCTACAACAGCTAGTGGCTCGCCCGTCGTGCAAAGTATGTCCGTATCATTTTTATTTTCATTTGTAACCGTCATTTGAATTTCCGCTGTCCCGGGTTAGTAAAAACGGAAGAAAATTCTACGGGTTGTTCGCAATTGCGGTCAAGATCCCCGTGGAATCCTCAGCGGGATATCATTAGATATAAATAATATTATTGCACGTTGGCCGCGAGCAAGAGACCCGGTATTTCATAGTTAGTTACTAGTCGGTGAGCCCGAAACGATGGTCGGCGGCGGTGTGTCGTAGGGGCGTTTTAAGACCCCGACCGGGCGTACGTCCCGCGGGTACTCCGAAACCCGCAAACGGGTTGTAATTGGTAACCGCGGTAACGCAGAGATTCAATCTTCTTCTCGACCGCTACCTTATTCCCCGGCCCGACGTGCACCGATTAAAAATCTTTTATTTAATACCATACGTATATATTATTACGTTGTCGTCGTAGCGGACGTTTCGGACTACGAGCCCGCACGTCGGAGACCCGACCGAATTGTTAGGTGCGTTGCCCGGCCCCGGAAATACGTTTTATTCGCGGACAATATAAATATGCACTCCGGGTGGTTAAATAGATGTATAACAATAAAATGGGATTAAAATTTCCGAAAACAAAAACGAGGTTTTCCGGAAAAACTTCACGTGAAAGTGAAAGATTTTTTTAAGCCGTTTGTATTCTGATCGCGGCGAGGAACTTATATCGGTTATACAGCTGCGATGTGTGCGATACTATATTCGTTTCGTGTGTGCGAACCTTTTTCATACGGGAAATCTTGCTCCAATCGAAAAAAAGATCAAGACAATAGATATTGAATTCGATACGATGATAATAATGTAATACACCAATGGACTGTATTTGCAGATAAAAACCGCACATTTTTCGTTTGTTTTTTATATCTATACATATGTATGTATATATTGCACAATGTCCTCACATTGTGCATAATTTCTCAATAAAAATGAAATCTATGTGTCAATACACGTTGTTTGTGCACGAAAATTCCTATACATTGAAGCATTCGCATACGTTATCGATACAGCCGCTGTAACCGTTGATTTCGATTCCTCAAAGATTTTTATTGGGGGAGTCGATTTCATAGGAGGTCAATGATAGTCTTCCGACTTATATTCATGTTTTATTATTTCTACGTTATAACAACATAATGTATTTTCCGGTAAAATACCATCAGTAATTGTTCAGATAATCGGAAACAATTACGTGATCGTTTTCTATGAGACATGCAATCTATTATCGCAATTCAAATGTATTTGCTTTGTATTTATCATATGAGTAATATATGTGTGTGTGTGTGTGTGTGTGTGTGTGTTTATGCATGCCAATTTCTGGAAAAAAAAACTAAAAAATATTATAGTTGTATGAACCTGGGATATGGGTACGTTTTAATGTTCACAATAATAATTATAATGACGGCGTGTTTTTATAAAATAATGAAATCGCGAAACTGTACGTTTTTCCACGTTTTTTTTTTCCACCAATTAAGTGCTTTTATTTAAAAAATTGGCGTCGAAAATCAACAAATCACTTTTTTAAAGTACCTTCCAGACGGGTTGAGCTTGCAGAAAAGTCGCTGCGCGCAAAAATCGGAGCGAGTTTACTTGGTAAAAACGTGTCCGCAGTTCTAGAACGAAGAATATAATGAACGGCATTGCAAAACGGGAGGAGCGCGCTAAAAAAAAAACAAAACCCGCCGGTGTAAAATAAATACACGAATCGCTTACCAGTCCGGATAGACGAAATAATTGTTTAACGTTCGCAATCCGGGATTCGAAAATCTTTTCGCCGGTCCGTCACGTCGTGATATAATCGACTCCGGTCATTATCATACCGCACCCCCCTCCCCCGCGACCCGACACGCCGCTGCCCCGTCGCCCGTTCCGCCCTCCGGACCCGGTTCGCGATACCCGACGCGGATACCGTAAACATTAAGCGTTCAATTACATTTTTCGTTTTTCGTAAAAACGCTAAAAACCCGGGCGGTACACGATGCTCTAGGTGGCGCGCGCAATATCACAACACGCGCCGCTCGACGTACCGACACGACGCCTCCCGCCCCCGCCCACCGTACGGTAAAACGACGCCCGCGCGGTGTTTTTTTTTTTTTTTTTTCACACACACACGCAATATCAAAAAGGCCCTGCTACGGACGCGAGTACGGCCGCAATCGCACGCCGGGGACAAACGCGTTTCGCGTTTTCGTCCGCCGTTGTCCGCCGCAGGACGGCAACGCGGTTTCATTGCGCGTGATATTATAACCGCACGGCGCGCGCGCGTTCGTTTTCGATTCATAAGCGCGCGTTCAACTCCCCCGGCCGTACGCACCGCGGACCCCGTGACGTCCGGACCACACCGTTTTAGCATCACGACGGCGCGACCGTCGGTTCTCCCCCGATTTTCTACACGGCATCCGCGTGTGCACGACGGTACCGTAACAATACGTTACGCCGCGGACATTATGATGACGTTTTATCGTATTTCGCGGGCTTATTTCGTTTCGTTCGACGTCGGGGTTTTACACCGATGTTCATTATCCGTTTTTTCTTTCGCTCGGCAACAACAACAGTACTGCCGCCCCGATTTCCGAACAGCGCGCCGTTTCCGAAAAGATATTTCGTCCGGCACGACACGCTTCAAAGGGCGTCGTTTTTCGATTTTCCGAGCGGTTTCCCGGGATAATAGTCGGGGACGTATTGACGTGCACGCGTGTGCGCAGGTACGACGACGCGTGGAAACAAACTGAATTCCCCCATATCCCATTCCGGACTTTTCGACTTCTCGCCAATGTACACAACACAGCGTCGGCCCGCCCGTCGTGCGAATTATGACGGTGTTATTTTTTTTTTTTGCGAATATATCGCGGCGAAATAACGTCATTGTCTCTCCGTGGCAAACGTTTCGCAACGACGAGTTCGTTTCGGGTTCGACTATTACCCGACCGCCGCCCTCCCGCACGCCGTCAAAAACGGATACGAGCGCGAACCCGCGGCGGCTGCCGCGGCAGAAGCGAAATCATTTTTCCCCTGTGACCTACCCGACGCGCGACGGTTTTGCATATCATTATTATAACGAATCGAGGGTTATTTTCGATTAAGTCTCGACACGAGTTCGCGAATTTTATAGATGCTGCCGGACGGAGCGATGTACGCGGAACGTACGAGGTCGCGTTCCAATTATCGTTTCGTTTTTCGTGTATCGGCCGACGCATACGTTAACCGACCTCGTCCCTTTTTTTTTAAAGTGACACACTATATATAACAATACGAATCTCGTATAGTGGCGGAGACCGCGTGATAATATCATTATATATTTTCCATTCGATTTTGGATAGTGAAATAAAAAGTCGTATACGGTATATATCCGTTGGATTGAGTTCAAAGGTTTAGTATTTCGGCCGGACCGCCCATTGGATTTGAATAGTTCGGGGTTTCGAATGGCTAATTGTGAAAAATTCCAGTTTCTCATCTTTGCGGCACGCGCGCTCTCAATTTAATTACTTTTACTTTTATATTCAATAGCGACGACATCCGTACTTGGCGTCAGGATTCGAACAGTCATATTTTTTTTCAAAACATTTTTGGTCAATAGAATTTGTTTACCGTTCGAAATTTACTCCGGGATACAATCGTTTAAAGTCGACAAAACACCATTATGATATTAGTAAATATAATTTAAAACAAATCAAAGATCATTAAAAATTAAATGTATGTAATCGTACTAGTTACAAGCTACTTAAAATGGGAACGGGTGCAGCCACTGTTAAAGATAATTTACTGTGTACCTGTGAGCAACGATAAACCATTGCTTAAAAAAAAAAAAAAAAAAAACAATTTTCAACGGAGTTCAGATGATAGTGATGATTTGTGAACGATATATATATATATATGTCTCATTATAGTTAAAGAATTAAATAGGTTTTATATTTTTTCTATATACATTTTATTATTTGTATATTAAATATTATTAAATATTTGTTTAATGTTATACAGATTTTCACGGAAAAATCTTGGGAAAATTCCTTCCCAGACCGATTTTGTTTCAGAAAAAGTGCTAATATTTTAAATTAGAGCAAAATTTCTGGTAGATGAGTTCTCCGTAGAAAAAAAAAAACCATAATATTTTTGTACTAATACCTATGTTTCGTACATTTTCCGTTTTTCTGACATTTTATCCCAGTTTTTCCCAGACATTACGAAAACCGCCAGGATGATCAAAAAAATGACCTCTTAAAAGTACCATCTGGACAATATTTTCTCTCAGAAATCATGCCTCGCGTTTATACCTAACAATATTTCTGGTAGTATTTTCGTGCACAGGATGAAAAAAAGTTAACATCTTAGTAAAACGATGACATTCTTCGCTTCACTCGGTATCTAAAAAGCACTTCAAGCGAATATTATTTGATCAAATTGTAGAAGCCGGTTTGAAGGGACCTGCCTGTCTAACGACATTATATTATTAAATAAAATTTGTTTATGCGCGATGAAAGTTATAATATTATACTTATAATAGTTTTAAAAAATGATATTCACCTATACGGATTATAACCATAGACGGCGAAAAATGTAAAAAAATATCGATCGCGGAGTACTGCGCAATATCCCACGGTGCAATTATTTGTCTCAGAAATGTTGATAAGACGTTCTTTCGAAACGCACAACACCACAAGCTGTGCTCCGTTTAAGTACGTTTAACATCCATGCGACTGTATTTCGGCCGCAACATTTCGGTCTTTCACAAAACATCTAATAACCATTGCTTTTCGACTTTCGTACAACTCAATCGGGTACGTTTTCGATACGTTTGTTTTTGACATGCCGAGAACCGCGAAATCGTGTTTATAAAACACAACATTGAATGGGAAAATGCGAAACACAAAAATGCAAAAACACCCGGATTTCTCGTTTCAGACGTCAACCGCGGGCATCGAACCCAAATATCCTTGCCTGTCCTAACCTAATTTTTTCTTTTATGGAATTAAAAAAAAATAAACTTTATAAAAAACAAAAATGTATAGGTATTCTGACGATTGTATATATATATAAATCGATCTGTTTGTCCGGCCTGTTTTGAAGATTAAACAAATATTTATTATAGCCGATATCCCGTTGAAGTTTCGCGCGCCGCGGTGTTTCGGAACGACTTTAAATAGCTTTCGCCGCGGAAATAATATATTGTACCCCGTTAAAATTATTCATAACGCGGCCATTATTTTTCATGAAAATATTCTCCGCGGGTAGATATACCTGTATAACGTCGTCGTATACTGCGATGTAAAAACAGCATTAACGCGTAATTATTAAAGACCGGGAGCCCACTATTTAAAAAAAAAAAAAACCGCCGACAACTATATTATATTCTGAGCGTAGTATATATTATTACGCCGCCGGTATAAAAGTTTATAAATATTTAGCTAGCGCTTTTTCGGAGTAAAAAAAAAAAATTAAATAAATAAATAAATATTCAACGCATATTACGGTATACGCAGGGTGTCCCGTGGAAACCCGACTATGTGCAATAAATTTTGATCTGTAATCATTAATGTTTACGCATATATATATTTATTTTTTTTTACGCCTAAACATATTGCTACCGTAACACAAGACCTAAGGCGCTACATTTTTTTTCTTCAGATTTTGCGTACGTATTTTTCGGATCCTTACGTCCTTACCGAAGCGAGGAATGTATCGGCTATACAACGATGTTTAGTATTATTTATTTTTTTTTTCCGTAGACAACCTCCTGCCGTTAAGTTCGCTCCGATTTGCAAGTCAATATATATTGATATTTAATATTTCGGTCAGTTTTCGAGATATGAGAAAAGTTTATTTGTACGAGTTGTTTAAAAAAAAAAAAAAAAAAAATGTTTTACCCAAATCAAGTGTTGAAAATAAGCGTTTCCGTTTAAAAAATTTCAAGTTTTATTGCGCATGTGCACACTGAAGGGTTAAGAAATTTGTAAATCAATGCGAAATGTGTACTTCAGTGTTTCCTAATTTTCTCTTGAAAACCCCATTTCAATTCGGGGTCATTGAACAGAAATTTTTCGTATTACCGTTTGAGTGAAACACACTGTATATACTTGAAAATCAGAGCAAAATTTCTGGTAAAAAAGTTGCCAAAAAAAAAAAAATCATTGTGGTTATATCATAAACGTTCCTCTCGCTCCGCTCAGAATCTAAAAATGGAACACACGGTTAAAACGGAAAATATGTAAAACGCCTACGATAATCCGAAACGCCGACAGTCAATTGAACGTTACGGTATTCGAGAGTTCCGCCGACGTCTCCGAAAATGTCGTCATCTACATACATTTCACAATGACGGATGACTGATTTTAAAGGCCTTTCCGTTTGGTTTACGCGAACACTTTTTTTTTTTTTTTTCGCTATCTACCTATATCGCCCGCGTCAGAAAAACCAAGAATGGCCTTTTATGTAAGCCGATTGAATATACTCGCCGAAAAGCGCAGTAAACCCCGTTTCGTCGTTTTTATTTTTCGCGGTGTTTGACGCGACTGTAGAATTATTACGATTCGTGCGGTACGCCGAAAAAAAAAATTCGTTTTGGTTTTCCGCGACGCGTATTTTTTTAATTTTTTTTTTACCTAAATCGGAAACTGAAAGAACAGAGAACATACTCTGGACTCTATCACGTCGCCACGCGAAACCGTATCCGGACGAGGAAACTAATATTAAAACAACGTGGCACGTCCGGGAAATCAGGCGATTTACGGTGTTCTTTTTTTTTTTTCGCTTGTCCCCGCGTCGATGTCACTGCGGATTTGAGTTGCGCGTCTCTGCAGGACACCTGTCCCGTATTATATTGATAAACACGTTTATCGATTGGCACACAGAGGAAATTTACTATTAATTACCCGTTTCGAAAAGAGGCGTCAGCCAGTGGCGGTGGTTTCGCTGTTTTTTTTTTTTTTTTTTTAGATTTAGATTTTTTTGATTTTTGTTTTCCACATAATTCGCGAACAAAAAAGACAACGCGAAATCGCGAGAATATTCGTTTGTTTACCGACGACAATACGCGTTACACTAGTTTCGGCCGGACGGGCTCATCGAGAGCTCATACAACTGAAGTGGTTCTTTTTTTTTCAAGCAAGTCTATTGAAAAAAATAAAATACAAATACATGTATGTAAGACTATCCGAATGCGGCGTTCCGGAGGCATCGAAGGATAACGGTTTGGGATAAAAAGATTCGACCTCCGATTTCTCTCCTCTTCCCCCCCCCCCAAAAAAAACCCTACTTCGATCCGAATCCATCCGGCTGTGATGTTTCGCGTTAGGCACCGTTCAAGTATTTGGAAAAACGAACGGCAGTAGGTATACGCAAATAAATATATCGCCTCCGGGATACGCCCCGCGCGCCTAAAGTTTGCGCTACTTACACCCGAGCGTGCACAATATTATTTCGAAATACGTCGTTTTTTTTTCCAAAATCCACTCAGACGAATCACGGGGATTTTTTCCCATCAATGATTCTCGCGATGACGCAATTCGTACGTGTATTATAATATACTCTGTATTGCGGACGGAACGATTTGCATACTATATTGTTGCACAAAAGTGTGACGGCGGCGCAATCAAATCTGTTGCAGAAAACACGGGAACGAAAAAAAAACCTTATACGCATACAGTTATTCGATTTATATCTGTAAATCGTCACTAACGAAGTACGATTCTGAGCGAAACGTCCTGAAACGTATTTCGAAATACCCGTGTTTTAGGATTTGCGTGAAAACTCGAAGAAGCTTCCACAAAACTACATTATGTACGTTCTACTATATTACGCTCGACTTTTTGTTTTTTTTCTTGCGATGAACCACGTGTTAAA